CTCGAAAATCGGAGTCGATTCCTCGACTCTTTTTCAGTTTTGGAATCGAGGCCTCGGGTCTTTTTGCCGTCGATCTTGCCCTGGCCTAGTATCCTCTAACTTAACACTTTGTATTGCAGAGATCAACATTCAGTCCTACACCCATGACTCTGCAGAGGACGCCCGTACTGCCCTTCAGCTTTGTCTTTTGTACAAAGATCTGCAGAAAGAAGATAAGGAGAAGGTAAACACTTTGTGGGGAGAGTTACAACCAATTGATCGTGCCAGTTTTTTAATATTCTTTTCTCTCTTGCTATTTCATTTTTTTTGCAGGTGGTTGTTGGGGGGAGGGGGGGGGGGAGTCTAATGTGGTATGCCTTATTTCCAGTCAGACTATTGTCCTTTCCTATTCATGGCTAGATGTGGTTGCTGTTTTAGGGAGTTAAATGAGTAAACAGGGACACATGTTAAGTGACCAAAGGCCTTTCTCGTAATTTTGATGTTAACTTTTGTTTTTACTGCTGGTCTACCATGCTCTCATATGACACTATGTTCTTGTTGATTCTGTGTGTCCGTCTTTCTTTTCCCCTTGTGTTAAATGACAATTTTTGTGTCGATATTTTCACTTGGCTGAGACCATTCTCCTTATTTGTTTTGAGAAATGGGATTGGTGAAAAGAATTGTGGATTTAAGTTTTTAAATGTTTGCATACATTTCACAAAATGTGTTTATAAATTTATAAGTGTAGAATATATTTAGGGACATATTTTTTATAAATGTTTGTCCTTCTTATCGTCTTTTACATAAACAGAAGCCAGGACACTAATTCTGAGTGTGGCAATCATGTTACCAAATAATAACTCGACCATTGTGAAATAGCACCCTAACTTACTGATATAAAGTACAGATGAGTTCCTGTGCTTCTCAATAACAAAATACTCTTCATTTTACCGCAATGCTTGAATGACAATATGTTCCGTACGAGTTTCAAGAATAATTGAACAAATCAAACTTTTTCCAAAGTTATTAATTGTTCTCAGAAAAAGCACCCATCAAATGGAGATTGCTGATGCAGTAGTGGTCATGACATTCGAATAGTCAAGCTTAATTTGCGCGCCACAGTTTTTACTACCTTCTTTAAATCTTCATCGTAAGTTATTTCTGAAAATATTCCTCTCTTGATTCCCCCAGTTTGTGTGTCTGTAACAAGGATCGATGACAACAACGGGTGTTGATATACTTTCTAGGGATGTAATTGTTTTCTAAAGCGGCGTATTTTGTTCTTCAGGTGCTGTCAACGATCAAGGAGATGTATGAGGCTGGGAGGAAGATCAGCTGGAAGATCCCTGACGTGGCTGGCGAGGAGATCAGCGAAGCGGACTTCCTGTAGTCTCCTGACGGTGCTGCTTCAACACCCTCAGCGATGGTGGCTGTGACGCCACCCGATGAGTCTCTGTTGTACAATGCAGCACCCGCCCTTTCATTTTGATTTTTTCTGCTTAAAATTTTCAACGACAGTAATAATCTTGTTTATCTTTTGCTACTCCTTGTTATTTTTGTACATTTTATTTGAAAAGTAAATCACAGAGTGTGGCCGCTGTTTAAAATTAGAGATATTTTTAGATAAAGAGAGCCTGTAGATATGCTGGCCAGTATTTATTGAAGATATCTACACACACACACACACACAGAAGAATGAGATATGTGTGATTAACAGGTGTATATGTGAAGTTTCAATTTTTGTTACAAGAAAAGTAATATGTGGGTCATAAGAACTTCAGACTTTTTGCTGTGCTACAAGTTGTACATTCCCCATGTTGCTTATCAAGGTTGACTTTTTACTTTGGTTTCGCTCTTGCTACCTGGCTCAACAGATTTTCCCCCCTTCTTTGCAGGGTATGATGAAGCAAGAGGTGGAAGGATGTTTACTTTTCAAACTCAAAACAGGTCTATGAATGTATTTTCTCTGCATAATAGAACTTTGTAGGGTTGATATCTTCAGGTCGTCCCCACCCCATCAGCCTTTCCTTCACTGGAGATACCAGATTCATTGAACTGAAGATAGTCATTTTTAGGGTGAATTTTGCTTTGCGTTTCTGAATTTCATGGCACTAAAATCTTGTTGCAACTGGTGTGAAATATAGTTGAGCTGTTAAACAAAAGGACTTTTTTCTCTCAGCTGTGAATTGTTTAAGGATATGTTGCAGGAGTTTCTTAGGGGAACTTGAGGAATACAACCTCACGAGGTGTCACTTGCTTGTTGTTTCTTTTAAAGTTTTTCAGTATATTACTTAGTTGTCTATTCATTGATTTTGATATGTTTTTGTTGTTGGTATTACTATTTTATTATTATTATTATTGCTACTTCGCTCTTACTATTACTTTTTTTGTTCCCTACTACTGTGGTCTCTTGAGAAATGTGATTGAAGACTTTTTTTTTGGTTATTAATATTGTTGCCCTTCTTTCTAAGCTGTGAAGTTTACATGTTTAGTGGGATGCTGTGGTTGAAGCAGTAAGTGTTAGCTTATGTGATTTGATTCTGGGCTCGTGTCAGTTTATACCAATGGCAACAAGTACAAGCACACTTATTAGGGCTAAGGTGGTCGAGTGTCTTTATTATTACACATTGTGTGTGCCATCTTTTCTGTGGGTTTTGTAGTGTATGCAGTGTGGTTTTAGCTTTCTTAACACATTGGACTCTTTGTTTTGTGAATAAAGCTTTTGTGTATTCATGGCATTCTTTTTTTTTGTGGTTTTTTTTTTTTCGCTAGACACTGTCATAGCCAAGGGTATACAGTATTAACCAGTTTTCTAATTTTAAATCACTTTTTGTCTCAGTTACTCAGTCGAAGGGAAGTATTTATTTGAATGTATGGTTTCAGGTGTATCATTAGTTGTATCTCTCAGAAAGGAGAACTTAAAAAATTCATCCTTGGTAATCGTGGAGTCAGAAGAGTTTAGCAAATTGGATTCTTTGGGAGGGGGGGGGGGGGGGGGGGGGGGGGGGAATGTTGGTAGGAAAGGTGAGGGTTGAAACTGCTGTATTTGAAATTTTACAGCAGTTTTAAAAATTTTGTCTTTTTTTAGGTCACTCCTGTGTTTGTTATATTGCATGAACCATGTTTTTAGTATAGTTTTAGGCATAAGCGGCAAGGAAAGGGAAAGTAGGCGTTTGTCTAGAAAAACAAGGCGATCGGATTGATTTTAGTGCCTTGAAAGCTTCAAAGATAAGCTAGATCTAGACCATAGATTTACTACAAGTTGCTAAGTTAAATCGAGTGCCGATGAGTCGCAGTCGGAAAAAGAATATGCTTTTTTCTCTGCTCTTCCTTCATCCTTCTCTGTAATAATATTAAAAGAACATTTTTAGTAAAATCTAAGCGAAATTTAATATTGATAGCTTAAGTAGTTTGGGCTAATGCGTGTCTTAAGGTTAGTGTGTCGAGTTCAGGCCAATTTTTATCCCCCGGCTCACGGCAAGCCAGGTGAACACAAGCGCACTGCCCACGGCAACGCGGGGTGAGTTGGGTTAAAAAAGTTAATTACCAGGTGAAAAACATTTGAAATGCTCAGTCGATCGAGGGACACTGTTTTCTAGCAGAGCTTTCCCTGTCAAGGCGTTCAATTCTTTGCTTGTTTAGTGTTTCTCTATATCATTATCATCTTTGTCAGGAGCATTTGGAGTTGAGGGCTGGGCCACTAAAAATTTCCGGTAGCTTTCAAAGGGCCAGTTTGCATGTTCTGAATCTGGTACATGGGAGGTTAATGTTGATTACTCTAATTCCTGGTTTACACCTCTCAACAAAGGCTTCCTTCACTAAATAACACATCACAGGGTCTGACTTACTATGATTTCTGAAGGCAAATCACAAAACGTTTGTGATGTGGGTGGTCAAGTTACGACTTTGACAGCATTGCTATTTGGGGAATAGTTTCCTGCATCATACTTCCCAGACTCAAAATTAAAGCTGTTATTTGTTTCTAGCTCATAAGTTTAAAATTTTCAGGTAACTGGTTTACTGAGGGGTTTTTTTTCTGTAGATCTGCCAATATTTATCCAGAGTCAAGGTCAGCTCTTTTCTGTTTGTGCTGACCGTTCATATGGGATATTTATCTAGTGTTACAGTCTTTTGCTGTCTTCAGCGAAAAGTCTGACCCTCTGATACAACATTAATTTCACCAAGCTTGGAATAGCAATTTCAGCTAATGAGTTCTATGCTTTATGAACTTTCAGAAAATGTCTTAATTTGTTTTCATCTCTCAAGTTTGTTTTCAAGTCATTATTTTATGCTAAAGAGACCAATGTATTTTGTGGTTTTAACCATTAGAAAGAAGGCAGACACAGATGTGTTTACAGTGGGATTAGTTGCTAGGTCTGTTACAAGAAGTTTGTGCTGTTTTTCTTCCATAAATGTGACAAGGTTGAGGGAAAAACTGATCTCATTTATGATTTTATTATCAATTATGCATATTGATGTTTCCTTCCTTGGGATACTGTTGTTGCTCTTTTCTTGTCTTCTAAAGCCTTAGGCCTTTGTAATGCATTGATCAAGCTCACCCAGATTCTACTTGTCTACTTAATGAAAGAGGACTGAGAAGAAAAGGAAAAGTGTTCTCATAATAATTCAATTTGAAAAGATTTGTATGCTCTGGTGTTGGTTTCAGGTGGTGAATTTGAGTTGCACTAAAGCTTCAATGGTAATCTGTAGAAAGTGCTATGGTAGTCAGCTGTTGGAACAATGCTCGCAGTTCTACGACTGGTGATGTGGAAAAAAAAAGACTCTACTGCACTGGAGTGTATGTTGATTTTGAATGCCAGAAGTGTCCTTTTGCTCTCTTTGAAGCTGCTGATGTTGACTTTTAGTATGTAGCAAAGATTTCTAGTGGATGCAAGGAATTCATTTTCCTTTTTTAATGGTAGAAAGGCGACCAGTGATTTTCTTTTTTTTCTCCAAAAAATGAAGCAGACAATTGATTTGGAATGTGTTTTTTTGGTTTCTAAAGGGTTTTTTTGTGTCATGGTGAGCAGGTCTTTGTCTGCTTCTTAACTGAAACTCCTGATTTTGTACTCTTTTCTTCATTCTTCACATCCCAGATTGGGGAAAGTCCTCATCTAATCAAAAATGTAATTGAAATCTTTTTGTATTGTGTATTGACTGTACTCAAGCTAATTTTATGGGCCACACAAACTTTTTCAAACCTGACTAGGCACAGGCGTCTTGTACCAGAGCACTGTGGTGAACTGAATTGTACATTTGCATGTTTCCATCTGCTTTTCTTGTCAGCTTAACCAGTGTTGCAGAGTATGTCACAAGTGTTGGCTCCTTCCATTATGTATGAGATCAAACTCTTACCGATGCAGTAAAGTAAGCGTCTTGTTGGTGTATGTGTAAGGCTATATTATATCTGCAGTCTGTTTGCAAATGGAGTTCCAATGTTTACAACTGAATTAAGTGTCAAAATAGAAAAGTCCTGATGGTTGAGGGTCTATTCCCGTTGCCGTTTAAACGTAACCTGGCGCCCTGCTAGTGAAGTTTTCATTAATGAATTTCAAAATCTTTTATTTCCTTGTCTTCTGATTTATGCTTTGTTATTTTTTTTCTTAGTACAAGAGGCATGTGAACATTGCTCTCTTGAAGTAACTCTCTGTAAGTGATGTTTTTGACTGAGTATTTGAATGAAGACTAGCTAAGGAATGTGGAACTGAACAAAATCGGTTTTATTTTTGGGTCAAGTTTGCTTTGAATCAATTGTATTGCTGAAATCAAAATTTGTCTTGACAGTTACAAACTCCAGTGGGAACTATTTTTACTTCAAAGAACTGAGTAATGGTGAATTTGCTTACAAGCTATTTTTACCACATACATTGTACTTCATGGGATTACTGTACTTCTTTAAAATTGTCACATTACCAGAAAAAATGTAGATCTGTATCAAAGCTTTTAAAAGGAATTGGTCAAGTTTTCTTCTTAACTTTTTATTTCCTGAAATATTGTGGTGCAACTTGATTGTCGGTTTGGGAAAGAGCATCTTTGTTTATAGCATTTCTGCTTGAGAAGTGAACATCTCTCAATGAGAATGCGAAGTGTTTCTGATTATTTCTTTGCCAGGGCCAGTGATTCAGTGGATGTGACTTGAGCTGAGAGAACAAACCAGATCATAGATCACACAGTTTGTGCCCTCACTCTATGACTTCCTCGTTATCACTCCCTCTGTGATTTGCTTTCAACATTCGTTGCCCTGAGAGAGAACAAATGATTCCCCCTATCCCCCCTTTTTCCCTCTATTTAGCCTTTTTTCCGGAATAATTTTGTAGTTGTGTGGATATAATACTTGTGTGTTGATAGTGGTATTGTTGAATTTCATATTGTACATATCTTGTCCATGCATTGTAACCACAAAGTGCGCACATTAGAGAGTGTGTGTGTATGGATGTGTGTTTGACGGCTGAGGACTTGGGACTTGAAAGGAATGCCAGTTTGTGCAGATCTGTATGCAGTGTACAAAGACTTGGCGCTGGTTCCCCAGTGAATGGCTGCACATGTGCGGGTAGTTAACTGGAAAGATGACATGTGCTTAGTCTGCTGATCTGATGATTGACTGGGGTTTATCTTCTGTGAGCTGACAATGGTTGGTGGAAGAGGGAGAAGAAGCTTGAGTAGAGTACTGTGTGCCTATGCACAATAATGTTTTGTTTGTAGGCCCAGATTTACATTGTTCCAAATGCAGTACATTTTTGTTTCAGATTGCAGTTGGGGGGGGGGGGTAGGATATATGTTAAGAACAGAGATGTGATTTCTTCTTGTCAGAGTGGAGGGAAGTTTAGGGGAAGTAAGACCACGTATGAGTCTCTGATTTATGGTTATCATGGAGCTGGGTACTTACTGGCAGTTGGGAGTGGGATTGATGCTGGGTCCTAGTGTTTATGAGAGTTAGTAGATGAAACAGTTGAGTACTGTACAGGGATTACCATGAAATGAGTTGCTGGAGATCAAGCAGTTGGGGTCCAGTACTGTATTTCTCCTTCTCTCTCTGTGGTAGAAATAGGTTTGTGGATGTGCTTAGAAAACAAATAGGACAGAGTGATTTGTCTATGCAGAACCGACCGGTTTGTATTTAAATTTCTCTCCCGAATGTGTGATTGAAGGCAAATAATGGCTTGTTTCTTTTCCCTATACTTAGCAGTGACTTGATGGATGGCCTTTCAGAGGTACCATGATTTATGTATTACAGCATTGGCACGTCTTGTACAACCGTTTGACCTTAGGAGGCTCAGGAGCATAAAGCACAGTGTCTATAAACACATGTTTAGTCACTGTCAGTGGGGAGCTTATGGTAGATTATTATCAGGTGGAAAGGGTTATTGTAGGGTATTGTCTACCGAGAGGTGCTGCAAGTTTTGATATGGAGAGAAGTGTACTGCCAGTAGATGATGAATTCTCTCTCAGTGTTTTGAGGAAGTTGTTAATGGTCACAAGTTGTTTGCAATGCACAGAAATGGTTATCTCAGGGCATTAGAATGAGTGGAGGAAAACTAGTGATGAAGAATGGGCTGCTTGTAGAATTGTGGTGTCCTGTTCGTGGGTTGAGAGGCATGATAGTGTGAATACGTTCGTTGTCCAAACTTAAGTACTTGTATTTTTTCTTTACTTAATGCAAGTAAGTCTTACTTGGTTCCTTCTTGCAAATAATTGTGGATGCAAATTGGGTAATTTTTATGATGATTTGGCTGGGATTGAAGTAATGTGTGGGTGTGGTGGTTGGTTTGATCATGGTATAGGAGTGACTGTTGTTCTGTTTGTGGAAGCGAGCAACCAGTATGTACAAGATTGTGTCTCTCAGCCAGCGAAAAGATGATATAGTCATGTGCTTTTTGAGTCTTGTAAGCCTAGTCTCTTGTTCATCCCCCCCCCCTCCCCACAACAGCAGCAGTATTGATTTCGATGTAGAACTTCCATCATCTCGTGTTCTCCCCAGCGAGGACTTTCTTGAGCATTGGGCATGCAATGTGTGTGATGACCATAATGTGGAAGCTTTGACTGCATCAGTTGACTGAAGCTCAAAATTGTTTAAGTTGACAGGATGAATCATTGCCAGCGCATTGATATTGGGGAAGTTAAGCTTTCTGTATTGATGAGACACTGCCATTTTGTACAGAGAGACATGTGGTTTTAACTTGTTGTCGTATTGTTGACTGTTGTCAGATGTAATTAAAAGAAAGTACATGGGCATAACTTTGAAAGTGTCTTTGTTTTCTGTGCCACGTGTTCTATTGTTCAGATTTCTTTTAATTTACTACTTTGGAGAGCTCATGTTTCAGAACTTGTCACCATGTGGCAGTATGGGAGGCCTACGACTTAATTTGGAAATATGGAACCCTCTTCTAATCAGAAAAGAGGTTATTTTGAAGGCAGAACACCCTTCTTCTTTCCCGTATGAAGCTTTGAGCGGAAAAGAAAGGAGGGAAATATGCTCCTTTGCAAAAAAGTATTTTGAGAAGAATGAGAAACATTTTTGGCGGGTGCTCTGGTGTAGTTTGCTTTTTCTTCCCTGTCAAACATCTATCTTCTTTATCTCCCCCTCCTTCTTTTTTGTGTCTGTTACTCCCTTGTAACACCTCTAATCTTCGGCACTTATATAACCTTATTGTGTTGAAAGTGCCGTAAACTCTTACGAAATAAAACCGAACAAAACAAAAAACATTTTATTTTAACCACATTTAACTCAGATTTTTAGGAAGTATCGGGACTGATGGTTGGCGGGTGCTCTGGTATGGTTTGCTTCTTCTTTCCTATCAAACATTTATCATCCTGAACTCTCCTTTTTTGTGTCTGTTATGGCCCGGTTACAGTTACACATAACGAAAAATTGTGTCAGATTCGTCGTATGCGAGTACTGTCTGTTTTGTCAAGCTGTATAGATCTAGTCTGTTTAGACGTTCCAATCTATCGTCCTGTCTTCTTTCGATTAGGGAGATTCCTTGCATTGACTTGACTGCACATTGATACATGTACACTACACTACTTCACCATTGACGATTAACTTTAATAATAGAATTGCTAAAATTTACATAATAACGCATCAAATCAGGTTCTCCGCGAGCAACTTTGCTTAATTTGAGACGCTGATTCCAAATAAGAAACCAGTTTTTTTTTACCTATGAAAAAAAATGTTGGAGCCCTAAGTTTATTATATTAAATTTTATTAAAGTGATTTTACGTCACGGCGCGTCTCCTCCCTATCTGACCATGGTCGCACGGAAAATATCAAGCAGCACTTGATTTCTCGACCGAGTCTCCAAGCCATCGTCCAATCATCCAAACTTTGTACAGTTTTGTGGTTAGACCTGACGATTTGTCTCATATAGATCGTCCAGCTTTTGTACATTTTATCGTTGCGTGTAACCGGGGCTTTACTTTCCTGTAGCACATCTAATCTCCAACACTTGTATGACCTTATTGTGTTGCAAAATGCCGTAAAACTTACTGAAACTGAAAATATTGGGACGTGTATTCATTTGCTTGTAGTCTCGTGACACGACATGTGTACCTTCTTGCAATCCTCACATCGAACGCTATTGTCAGACCGTGGAGGCTCCATAAAACCGAGCGTTTCAGCTTACTTTAAATTTAAGTAAGATTGTTTAGAAATGAATCACTATCTGTGAGACAAAGATAATAAGGCATCCTTTTTTTCAAAAGTTATGTTCGTCGGATCTATTGTTTATGAGTTGATGAGCACTGATTGAGACATCGCCTTTCTACCGTAAGCTTACATATTCAGACTTCAAGATACGTTAAGGACCACTTGTAAACACTCTGAGTGGTCTTATTGGGTCGAACTGCAGGTGGGCGTTCTTGGACTGATCCAGTGGCTTGATGGTGCTGTCTCAAAGGGACAATGACAGAGTGTGACACAGCTAGTCTTCTTGCAACTTTTCGGGCTCCCACTACAACCTGCAGCCATGCCGTAGCTCTGTAACGATCAAAGTCTCTCAGCTTTCGTCTCGGTGGCATATTGATGCGATACTGGATTTTGCGCAAACGGCGGCTTATATTGCCACCAAAGAGAGCACAGTTCGAGACCGTACGTCCGTTTATGACGTGCACCAGAAATTTAAACTGAGGAATGTCTGTGGTATTGCACACAAGTCGACAAAAAACGGCAAGTTTGACTAAAATTCCCCGAGGATTTCCGCGATGCACGTGGTGGTTTTGCCCCTTCAGGAAGCTTTGCAGTACGCATTGGTAATCCATTAACACTTTCAAAGCAAAACATTTTGAAACCTTCCTTGCTGTCTTTTTTTTTTCGGATTAAAAAACAACAACAGGGATGTCTGTCAACGTGGTCCATACGTCGTGTTTTACTATCGTATCCATATGACGTGGGGGAACTCTGTGCCACCACTTTTCAAAAGAGGAAATTTACTCGTTAATCCGATCTGTACGCTTTGCATATCAGTCTGTTAAAATGATTTTTTAAGAAATACTGAAAGTTTCAAAGAGATCTTATTAGAAATATTCTAAAATGTGAAGAATACAACCCTGGGGGTATATAATGACCCCAGGGCGTACGGATAAGGTTAACTTATGTTGGAGTCTGTTTAACAGAATTGACGGTTCTATCTGAATCTATCTGAAGTATTCTTATACAACACCTGTACCATTTTCAAAGAAGTTTCTCTCCTCCTCCTTCACGACGCCTGTAGTCTGTGATGTAGCGGTTAGACGCGTCATTGTGGCACGCAGAAGACGTAAGTTCGATTCCTGTGTGGGGAGAATTTTTTTCACCATTTATGTCTGTCTACTGGGATGTTGTGTCACTCTGTCAGGGTGTACAACCTGACAGGCAGGATCAAGGCGGCCCGTCTCCAAAATGTTGTAAATAGTGTCGAGGGGGAGGGGGGATGTTGCATTGATACACCGACAGGTGCAATAAGAATCTCCTCCTCCTCCTCCTCCTCCTCCTCCTCCTCCTCCTCCTCCTCCTCCTCCTCCTCCTCCTCCTCCTCCTTCTCCTCCTCCGCCTCCTCCTCCTCCTTCTCCTCCTCCTCCTTCTCCTCCTCCTCCTCCTCCTTCTTCTTCTTCTTCTTCTTCTCCTCCTCCTCCTCCTCCTCCCCCTCTTCCTCTTCGGCAACAAGCACGTTTTTTGAAACGTCGCAAGTAGTAAATTCATAATATTATAATAATGATGTACAATAAGGAGGTACACGAATGAATAGGTTGAGCGGAGTGTAAATAAAATGTGTCACAATTTTCTAGTCAAAATAAGTGGCACAGTAATTTACGATGTCATTGCAGTTTTTTGTATCTCTTTGAGGTTGAATGGTTAAACAGGTTTAGGCGCGCCACTATTATCTCAGTAGGTACATGTATAATGCTGGAACTGGAATATGGAGCAGATGGTCGTAGCTCGAATTCTCAATGTGACATTCTGCTGTACTTGGGTTGTTTTGGTGAGTTTTTAAGGTTCGGTTCCATCGGAGACGGAGGGGGGGGGGGGGGGGGGGCTCTCGTAGCCTAGAGATTATGGTGTTTGCCTCTCATTCAATAGGTCCTGGGTTCGAATCCGGATAGCAACGGGACATTTTTCTTCTCTAAAAATTGTCTCTTTTCACCCCCTTTCCTGTTATCTAGCGATGTTCTGTCGTCTGCTTTCGTCTCCACTTTCTGCCCTCACACCCCCCCCCTCACCTCTTTTGCCCCCCTCCTCTGGGCTCCTGACTCTTTCTGCAGCCTCTCTACTGCTCCTCCTCGGCTCCTTCTTGCTGCTGTCTTTCAGCCACACTCCTGACCTTCTGGTAGGAAAGGTCTACACCAAGCCTTCTCGGACAAGGGCGAAAAATCTAGGAGGTCCCGAGTGCAAGTCGCTACACAGTGTTGGAGGATTCTTCAGACCAATCTTCATTGTATTGACTTTTTCTAGATACATTTGGTATAGTCTTGTCCCCAACACGTTGAGTTCGTTTAGACCCGCAAAATGTTTACTTCGTTGTATTGACGTTTTCAAACTTTTGGTGCGTAGTTTTCTTAGAGCAAGTCTCTAGATATTTTATCTAGTTTTCTCTATATCCTAGATGCATAATTTGGAGTACAAAATTCAAGACTGATTTGGAGAAGTTTACAAGAACAAAAGTACCGTTTGTGCTTTGTGACTGAAGGGTCATGGGTTTGAACCCTGCCATGGGGCCGAAATCGTGTCTTTGATAGAGTGTTAGAGGTTTATGTGGTATGAATTTTCCTCACTTCATCAAAGTGGGAATGGGTATCCGGTAGGCGGGAAAGATGTCTTGTGTAAATTATGCATTTGTCCAAGATGGGTAACGATCTTTCAGGATTGGTGTCACACACACACACACACACACACACACACACACACACACACACACACACACACACACACACACACACACACACATTATAAAATTATATATATATAATATAGTTTCTACTTCTTTCTTTCTTTTTAAGCCGGGCAGCACGGTTTTGAATAATTTGGAGGCAATGCAAAAGATTGTTTTGAAGCCCTACAAGTAAAGAATGACAAAATCCAATCTTGACAGTATGGGTTATGTTTCTAGTATTTTAGTTATATTTCCGTCGAGGTACTGTATTGCCTTTTGCTTCCAATTTTCCGGAAGGTCATGTTGTCATAATATACTCTAATTCGAGGTAGTTATTGCTACTGCTGTTACAGCAGCCACTACTACTACTACTGCTACTACTACTGCTACTACTACTACTACTACTACTACTACTACTACTACTACTACTACTACTACTACACTACTACTACTACCACCACCACCACCACCACCACGGGTAACCCCGGCGGTAATGCTTCAAAGTGACATGTAGGGGCTATGATAATGTACCGGAAGCCTGCCAGTCAACGAGAGCGGTCATAATTAAATAACGATTCAACCACGAAGTAGCACAGGGGCCATAATACGAGGACAGCTTGCATGACTACAGGGTAAAGCCCCATAAGTCTGTCATGAGAAGTCTAGTTTCATATCAAAGCCTATGTACTTCCAGTCTGTTTCACCATAAACCTTTCTTATTTGTCCCACGGGCCACCTCTCCACACACACAGGAACACAGGAGGAGAGGGATCTAGAAAGAGGTCTGCCGCCACCATGGAAGCAAAACCTCCACAACAGCGCAGCGATTGTGGCGCTCAGTGTGTTTAGGGGTCAGCCCGACAGTGACTTATGAAGCCCCCACAAACTGGAGATTTGTT